GGGGGTGTGGGGGGGAGTGAGTGAGCAGCTGCGTGGTGCTCAGTTGCCGGCTGAGGTTAAACCACGACATCATCTCAAGTAGCTTTCCAGTGGCCAGAGAATAGTCCTTTTTCTACACACATATGACTTTTCCTTTTGAGTGGAGAAAACCACACCTGCAGAACAAATCGCCACAGAGACAAAAAAGGTGAAGTGCTTCCTAATGGGTTTTGTCCCTACAGTGGGTTTGATCTTGGCTGGCTGCCAGACAACCACCCAGCCACTCTCTCACTCCCCCTCTTCAACAGGATGGGAAGAAAATAAGATGGAAAAGCTCATGGGTTGAGGTAAGGACAGGGAGATGGCTCTCCAATTACCGTCGCAAGCAAAAAAGACTTGACTTGGGGAAAATTATCTTTATTGCCAATTTAAAATAGGGTAGAATGGTGAGAAACAAAAACTAACAAAACTAAAGACACCTCCCCGCCCACCCCGCTCTTCTTCCCAGGCTCAACTTCACTCCTTCACTCCCAACTCTTCTATCTCCTTCCCCCCCTGAACAGCACAGGGGGATGGGGAATGGAGGTTGTGGTTAAGTTGGTGACAGCTCGTCCCTGCTGCTCCTTCCTCCTCGCGCTTTTCCCCTGCTCCAGTGGGATCCCTCCCATGGGATACAGTCCTTCACAAGTTGCTCCAATGTGGGTCCTTCCCACGAAAGTTCTTCACGAAGTGCTCCAACATGGGTCCTTTCCACAGGGTGCAGTCCTTCAGGAACAGACTGCTCCAGCATGGTTCCCCCATGGGGTCACAGGTCCTGCCAGAAAACCTGCTCCTGCGTGGGCTCCCCTCCATGGGCAGCAGCTTCCCTCAAAGTACATCCACCTGCTCTGACATGGGGTCCTCCATGGGCTGCAGAGTTGATAGCTGCTCCTGTGCAGTCCTCCATGGTTTTCAGGAGGGGACAACCTGAGTCACCATGGTCTTCTCCATGGGCTGCAGAAGAATCTCTGATCTGGTGCCTGGAGCACCTCCTCGCCCTCATTCTTCACTGACCTTTGGCGTCTGCAGGGCTGTTTCTCTCACATTTTTGTCACTCTTCTCTCACAGCTGCTGCACGGTGGTTTTTACCCTTTCTGAAATATGTTTTCACAGAGGCGCCACCAGCTTAATTGATGGGCCTAGCTTTGGCCAGCGGTGGGTCCATTGCAGAGCCATCTAGAACCAACTGTGTTCAGCATGGGGCAGCTCCTAGCCTCTTCTCACAGAGGTTTCCCCCTCCCACCCCCACGCTACCAAACCCTTGCCACATAAACCTGGCAGAGTCCTGTTCAAGATAAAAGCATGCTTTACACCCTGAAGGAGGAAGGCCTCAATCTTGGATGAATCAGGTAGAGTCATCTCCTGATTTCAGTGGCAGCAAGACAATATCCCAGGGAAGAATTTGAAGTATGCACACTGGGCAACATTTACTTGTGGGGAGGGAAGGTATCTTGCATAAACAGAATCTGCCATAAAGGCTGAATTTTCTAAAATCATCCAGTGGAAATCAGAGCCACCAAAAAGGCTGTTAGCTTCAACAGAAGGAGGCAGGCGGTCACACACTCAAAAAATGTCCTCGTGAAGAGACAAGATCAGATTAACCTGGTGATAAGGAACAGACTTTGCAAGCAGAAGCAGCACAGCAAGTCCTTGAGTAGGTTTTCCTGTGACATGACTACAAAAACACAGAATGGCCCTTACTGGTGTGCAAAGTGCTACTAAATGCACTTTTACTAAACTTTGGAGAGCTTCCCATTCTCAGACCACAATCAATAACCAAGGACCACAGGGACTGTGTCATACCTAAGCCCTGAAGAGGAACGTTTCAACTTAACCGAAGTAGACCAAGTTGCTAGTCTTTTGCCTCTGTTTAATTATTTTGGAGGAGAGCAGGCGTGCTTAACTCTTTGAACATGAGTTCACCTGTCATGACTCGCTTTCCAAAGGAGATGAGTTTAAGGAGGAGCACCCACAGAACTTGTCACGGATTAAATCGAGGAGCACGACTCCAGGAAGTTCTAAAAATAAGGCAGGTTTTTTTGTTGCCTCAGCCAGAACGAGAACCATTTTTTTGGTTACAATCTGCCTCTTCCCTCTACCACTGTGAAAAAACAGACTTTCTTTAGGTATCCTAATCAGATGATCAGAAACAAATTTAATGATCCAGAGATTTGCCCCACCTTGGATGGAAAAGATAACGATTTCGATATTGGTTAACATTGGTTTGTGATACCCATCTGGCACATGTTCCAAATTACTTAAAATGTGAACACTCAAGCATAGAGACAATTACGTGTTCTGGGTTTTTTTTGTGTCAACTTCCCTGCTAAGTAAAAAAGCAGTTTTTCCCATGAAACCTGGACAGTACTTGAAATATAGAAGACATGAAGTGCAAAACGTGAAATAGGTAAGCACTGTCATGAGGTGAGACTCTTGTAGGTTCAACGTGACTCCTAGAAAACAGAAGAGTTTCGAGATGGTATGGAAGATCATAGCTATATATGAAAATTGCCCTTCTCCCTTATCTTCAATATAGTGTTGCAAAGATCATCTCATTGCCTCTGAGGTATACAATGACCACCAGAATCTTAGCAAAGACCCCCTACAATCATGACAAAGATCAATGGTAGAATCTTGTACTTGAAACTGTCTCAGCCCATTAAACACCTATAAA